TAGTGTCTCATCCTTCTGGGGGTTTATGGATAGGTAGCAGGCTCTCTGCAGAACCAAGCACGAGTCAGGCAGGCAGGAAACCCGGCACCTACCTGGTTAAAGTCCCTGAAGACTGACATGCTGCTGCAGAAACCTGCCATCGCAGTGATTGCCCTAAAGGTCGTGAGAGCTGCTGCCCTACAGCAGGAGCAGGGAGATTCCGCTGGCATCCACCAGATGGCGTTTAGGATATGAGTTCCCACCTATTCCACCTTCCTGGTGGGCAAGTGTGGAAACGTGGTTCCCTGGATCTGGGTCTGAGAACACAGCCTACTCTTAGTCCAGACTCAGGCATCTTTCTTCTACTGCTCATAGGGTTCTGGGTCCCACTACCCAGCTCAGAGGTTACCCTACCGCCACAGGTGCCGGAGGACTCAGTTTACTTAAAAGATAAATGTATTCTGAATTCCTCAAGGATGGAAAGAATATGTACTTTGTACATAAGGTCTGAAAAACATAATGATCACCAGTGTACCCATCACCCAACTTAAGAAACAGAAGCAGCTCCCTGTCCCCTACAAAATGGTAGCTCTTTGGGAAGGTGAGTGTGTCAGGGGCCCAGCTGGAGATCTCACAGCTGTCAGGAGGCCTGGCCCAGACCCCTAGGACGGGAGCTTCACCTCTTCACTCCAGGTCCTGAGGTCCTGGATGCTCCGTTCCCATTCCCTAGCCCATCCCTGAGCCCACGGGGCAACACTCACTTCTTTTATGGCCTTGACAATCTCAAACTCTGAGGATGAGTGGAAATCATAGCCCTCCTTACGCAGGTAGAGGCGAAGGAAGCGAGAGACGTCTCGGCCAGCGATGTCGATGCGCATGATTGAGTGAGGCATGGCAAAGCCCTCATAAATGGGCACAGCATGGGTGACGCCATCCCCAGAATCCAGCACCACTCCTGTGGTCCTGCCTGTGGCATAACTGAAGCAAAGGGGGCAACCCGTCACTCACGCCTGTCTCCTCACTCTGGGCAAAAACTTACTTCTTTTAAAGTTCAATGCCAGCTGAACTAAAGCTGGGGCCTGCCTTTCTCCAGGGCCCTGAAACTGGACTGAGTACTAAGGATGCCTGAGCACTGAAACAAGCCTTCAAAGACCTGAAGGAGAGGAGCTGAGCCTCTCCAAGCTCCCTGCCCACGCCCAGAAGAGCAGGCCTTCCAATCTCAAGAGATGCCTGGCCTTCAGCCGGTTCATGCACCCAGCCTGAGGGGCAGATTTTACTCTCAGACAAGAGGAAAAACCTCAAATGCCCACAGGGCTAGGCAGGGAAAGTACACAAGTAAAGGAAAATAAGAATATTTTCACTTCCACAAAAACTAGCTTTTCTCCCACATGATTCTCTAGGTCTGTCCTTAGTCTTTTCCTCTTTTGGTAGAGACAAGGAGACAGACATATACTTCTGTGGTATGAGGGGGTGGGGACCTCACTACGTTTCATAATTAGCAGTTGACACTCTGCCTTTGTGTTGGGAGGACAGGAATGGAGTGAACTGGGGGAAGTCAAGCTGGCGAACTCTAAAATGGCAGCCTATTCTAGCTGGGATTTTGCCCCACAGGAATGCCAAAGGAACTGCTTTCCCCTCAGGGGCCAGGCTCGCCAGCCAGGCTGCTACTCACAGGCTGAGCACAGCTTGCATGGAGATGAAAAGGGCTGGCACATTGAAGGTCTCGAAGAAAACTTCAGCAGCTCGTTCTCGGTTTTTCCGTGGGTTTAAAGGCGCCTCTGTCAGGAGCACAGGATGCTGGTGAAAAATGCCCGGACAGCAATCAGGGTGAGGCCAGATGCCCACCCCTCATTAGTGCTGGCGGAGAAGCCCGTGTGTGGCTGGCCAGGGGACCTTCGTTGGTCTCTCTCCAAAAAAAAAGACAAGCTGGCCTATCACTTACCCCGGCCCAAGTCAGATCCTCAACTTTCCAAAATCATGCCCCCTTTAAAGTCTCATTCTGACCTCACCTCCACCCCTTTACTCCTTTCTTTTCTTCCATGATTCTTACATCCCTGTATCTACTATATATATATCTCCAGTTGTCAGGAAGATTTTGCTAATAAGCTATTGGAATTATTATGATAAGCATAGTTTGAATTTTTTTCAAAACAGAAAGTTAAATTTTAAAATTGAACGTACTTTTAAAAAATCAGAACATATCTCTCCCCTGGAAATTCTGGTCCACCTAGTGTGCACATTCCTCGGTATTTCTGAGTGGAGAGTTACTCCTTAGAAGTTAGAGTATGTGCTCTGAAATCTGAAAGATGGGGGTTTGGATCCCAGCTTTATTTTATTCATTGGGTGATCCTGGAAACACTACTTGGCTTTTCTGAACTTGTTCCCCTGTTTGTAAACTAGAGAGAATACTACCCACATCTCATAGGAATGGTGTGAAGAAATGCAAACATGTCTAAAAAGCACAAGGTCTGATGCCTGGTACATAATTAAGACAGATACTCTTGGCAGCTATTGTCATCGTCCTCATCTCTGGGGTAGGGTCTGACGAGCTCTGCACTCTCTGCAGGGCTGCCCCGCACACAGAACCCTCACCTCCTCTGAGAAAGTCTGCAGCTGGTCCTTAGAATAGACATATTGCCAGATGCGCTCCATGTCGTTCCAGTCCTTGACAATGCCATGTTCCATGGGATACCGGATGGAGAGCAGCCCTCGGTGCTCCTGGGGACAGAGAGCAGGACTTACAGCAGCAGCCAGTCTCTCAGCTGAGCTGGCCAGTGAACCCTGCGAGTTCCCACCCCACAGTCCTCACCTAGGGCTAAGGGCGGGTACCCATTCATTCTCCAAATCTCCAACTGCACAGCTGCAGAATGCTCTCACTGCCCAATCAGCGGGCAAATTAGAGGGCTTCTGCATTTCATGGACCCTTGGGTGTCCTCAGGGCAAGTGACAGGAGACACCCTCTTCATTGCCTGATCCCAGGACATAATCTCCTGGCCCTCACCTCTGGGCCTCAGCACTGGGAGCCAAGGCTGGCAACTACGATTCTGTTGTTCTGCTTCTAGAGGCTGCCTGAGGGCTCTGCCAAACTGTTAATGAACTCATCCCCAGGGTACCCCAGCCAGGATCTACGCCCAATCCCTTTTGCCAAAAAATAACCATGCCAGTCATTTTGATCATTGGCAAGGTAGTGACAGAATCCAAAAGGAAGGCAGAAGCTCTGTTTCCTAGACTGCTCTCTGTTTCACAAATTAGGGTTTTCTTTCCAAAACCAGAAGCTGCTCCTGGAAGAAAGAAATGGATGAGGCCTAGGATAAGAGAACCGAAGGGGAGATTTTAAGACGAAATCGCTCCTTTTACTCATCGCTATGTCCCTCTGCTGGGACACTGTCCATGTGGGGACTAAAGAAGGTCCTCTGTTAGCTTGAGGAGTGGGAATTACCTCAGCTTTGGGGCCAATGAAGATGTCACCTTCGAGGGCTCCTGCCATGACACGAACGTGCTTGGGTCTGCCCACACTACAAAAGAAAGCGGGGAGGACCATCACTTTTCATTTCACAACACATGACAGAACACAGGAAGGATGTACAGAGGCACAGACTTAGGAAGAAATATACTCAGTGCTACTGTGATTATCTTTAAGGAGGGAAGTTACAGTTGATTTTGATTTTCTTATTTCTCCTTTTCTGCATTTCCCATAATTTCTACAATGAACATGTATTAAGTTATGTGTGTATTATTTTTATATTATAAGTTATTAAAACAAATTTTAGAGGATTCTATACCTCTAGTTCTTCTCCTTCCCCAATGTATGTGCAGACCAAGAGAGACAAGAGAACAATTTCTAAATGAATGGTTAACTCCAAAGATTTTAGTCTCCTTAGCCCTCTGCCCAGGCCTTCTACTCAATACAACTATGCTGTTATAACTATGACAGATGGCCTTCTTTCTTTTCTTTTAATCCTTACCCACAGAAACGTTTTTATTGATTTTTAGAGAAAAAGGGAGGGAGAGAGAGAAACATCGACATTAGAGAGAGACACTGATTAGTTGCCTCCAGTACACGCCCTGACGAGGGATCAAACCTGCGACCTTTTGATGTAGGGGTCGACACTCCAACCAGCTGAACCACCCGGCTAGGGCAGATGGCTTTTTTCTTTTTCTCCCGCTTAAGCCCTTCCCCAGGCGCCCGTGCCCTTCTCTTGCCTGCAGTCTCTCCGCCTTAGGAGGAAAGTCCTGAGAACTCATTCTCACTAAGGTTGGAGGTATGGTTTCATGGTTAACCCCATCCTGGGTGCTAGGAGAATTTTAGAAAAAGGGCTCCCTGAAGAGGGAGTCACCCAAAGCAATGAGTTACTGATGAGAACATTTTTGGCATCAGATAAAAATCTGCCAGTGCCTCTCAAATTGTACTATGTAGGCTGTTTCCTTAGCATCCTCCAAAAGCCAGCTCCTGTCCTTTGCTTGAGTACCAAGACTGACCTGAATGACAGATCCCTTCTCCCTAAAAGATGGAGGGCTGAGCCTGTAACAAAGCTGACAACCTTCTCAAGCTTCTGACTAAGTTAGAGAATGACTTACTAGTTTGGAAAACAGTATTTGGGGATCTGATCACCAGCAAAACCAGCTTTAATCACACCGGATCCCTGAGGAGAAAGGAGAAAGAAAAGTCAGAAATGTCACAAAAACAAGAGATTTATATCATACAACATGTATATGGTTCTATTTTTATTTTAAAAAGTGAGAGACCTTAGGGTTGTATATGATATATCTATTTATATAAGCATTCGTACAGTGAATGCATGCCAAAGGGAAGGAAGTGGGACTGGAGAGGGTGAGAACTTTCACTGTATACTCAGAGTATGAATTGATTTTTCTGTACTCTTTGACTTTTCTACACTGAACATGTTTTACTTTTGGCATTAAAATAATGTTAATAGCTTTTCGGTGGCTGAGAAGCTGGGAGATCCCGGTGGGCTGAGAATGCCAGATTTCACTGTCCTCCCCAGGTTTCAACCGTCCCCTAAAGGTCCTCAATAAAATGGTTTGATCCCCCCAAAATACCGCCCTCTCCCCAAATATTCATAACGGGGAGAAAAAGAGAAAACCTGAGGAGAGAAGAGGAAAGTAGCTAGAAGCACCAAAGCAGCCAAGTTCAGGAACACAACCAAGGTGGGAAGAGTGTGTGACTCAGGCACACCACCACCAGATGTCGGAACTCTCCCTGCCCCCAGGTGTGTGTGACAGACACCACCATGAGCACTGCCGTGGGACGCACACTGTCTGCTTCTTACTGCAGGGTTTGTGGTTATTGTTGTGTTTTTTACTCTGCTTTGTTCTACTCACTCGTAGGTCTCCTGATGATAAGGAGCCCTAAAGCACTGTCTGAGAAGAGAAGAGACCCAGCATTACAATCCTGCTGCTCCAATCCTTGGTACGTTGGGTGGGGTGCCCAGAAAAGAACCCGACTTCTCCCACCAGCATCTCTGGGCCCAACCAAAGTAAACACTGATTCTATACACACAGATAGTAACTCCACGCAGAGCAGCTGTCGAGGCTTGATACTGCTTGCAGATATAACCTGTTCTCTTCCTTCTCAGCTCTCCTACCACCACAGCTGATACCTTTGCCCTTCCCAACACAGTTTGCAGCTAGTTGGGGGCAAACCTGTTCCTGCTGCCTGTCAGCAGGGCTACTACTCCTGGGATGGAGTGTGGTATTTCCAGAACCCACACAGCAAGCAGTAAACATATCAGGAGACACTAAATAGGTTGTCTGCGCCAAAGACTTCCCAGCAACATCCCTGGTCCCCTCCCTGTCTCTTATTTCTGCTCTTCCATGAGGAAAGGGGTTGAGACGGGCCATCCTTGTGCCTGACTCTGGCAACACAGGGAGTAAGAAGTGGTTGAAGGACAGGGAAAGCAGTAAGTTGAGCAGAGCAAGCCAGTTCTCTAAGACAGCAAGAACCTCTGCCAATAGAAAAGAGAGAAAACAGGAGATAAGTGCAAACTCATCGGCCTGGGCAGGACAGCAAGAAGCCTGGAAAAGGTGCAGCTATACACTGAGCTGCAGACTGGGAAGAAGGAAGAACTATCCTCCTGCAAACACAGGGCTCTGGGGCAGCGGCATGGGCAGTGAGAACAGTGCTGCACAAGACAACTCCAGGAGCGTGTTAGGTCAAGCTTCCTATAATTGCTCACTGCCTTCATCTGGGTGTGGTGATGCCAACAGACTCATGAGATCTCCTGGCACAGGTTGAAAAAAGAAGAGTAAAGATGAGACCTGTACTTCAGACTCTAAATATTTTCCTGGATATTTGATTTTATGTTTACTAGCAAAAGGACTAGAGTCTAAGTGACAAGGCAGAGTAAGATGATAGGTTCATTTCTTCCTCTCTGTCCTTCCTAGCAAGACTAGAACAGGCCCAGTTCAAATACCACTGCCTTCCTCCTGAAGAACAGTCCCTAGGTGGGATTAATTATGCTCCTATTATCTCACAAAATCACCATTACCTATACCACTAGGTAGATGCATTTCATTCTGCTCTCATATTTGACTTTATGGTTTTCATTTTTGTCTCCCTTCAGCCTAAGTTCCTCGAGGTCAGAGACTTTATATATCAGCAGTAGCTGGCATTTGCAGGGTACTCAAATAGATGCTGGCTGACTAAAATGAAAATCAAGCTCAAATGGATTGGCAGATGATGTCTAATAATTGGAACCTGAATGAGCAGCTGGAATGCCACAAGCCCCAGGCACAGGTGGTGCAGGAAAGACCAAGGCAGTGTTGGGAATGATGCACAAGACCCAGGAACCAGACCCAGCTTGTCCCTGCAACCCCACGAGCTGGCCTGCCAGGCCGCAGGTGGGTGAAGAATGGGTGGGGCTGAAGGAGACGGTTTCCTCCTTCTGTGTTGCCAGAGCTAGGCACCAGGATGTCTCATTTCTCTGTTCTGCTCAAGCCATACCATGAGGTCATATAAGAAGGTAATCAATTTCTTTAACAGTATTTATAACTAGGAACTGTATACTTGGCAAATGAGCTGCCACTCTATTATTCACTGTGGCAAAACCAAGTAAATGAATGCCTTGCAGAGGCTTCTTGAAAAAGTAGTCTCGTTAAATATTGGATTTTTGAGGACTCAAATCTGCTGCCAGCCACTGCTGACCATTCATTCTCCTTCTGCTGCAGGCAAACAGAGCAAATCCCTTAGCAAGGTTCTCCCAGTACCTGCTGGCTATAGGCCTTATGGCTTGGGTGACCTTTATTCTAAGCTCTCCTGATTATTCTGGACATGCTGAAAAGAAAGCTAATTGTCTCCCATTTTACAAGTGGGAAAAGGATGCTAAGAGATGGAGCCTCAGATTCTAAGATATTGGTGGCCCATTTTGGGCCCAAAGACATATTATGTTTGGCCCACAAAGTACTTTAAAAAAACAACAACTTTATTGAGATAAAATTCAATTTACCCATTTAAGGTGTATAAGTCAGTGGTTCTTAGTATATTCACAGAGTTATGCAATCATTACCACAATCTAATTTTAGAACTTTTTTCATCATCCCCCAAAGAAACTCTGTATCCATTAGCAGTCACTCTCCATTCTATCCCTCTTCTCTCACTCCTAGTCCTGGTCAACCACTAATCTACTTTCTGTATCTATAGATCACAAACTACTTTTACATTAACTTCTGACAGTTAAAAACTGGAAACTCAAATGACATAAAAAATTTCCAATTTCTTTTGAAAAATCAGATCTGGCAACACTGGGTCTGCATTCCTGCAAATATGGCAAATGTCAACATTTATTAAATATGGGTGGTAGACACATGCTATGTAGGTGCTCTGAATTTTTCTTTAGGTATAATGTCTCTCTCTCTTTTTTTTTTTTTTAAAAAGGGGGGGGACTGAAGCAGCACAACATTCCCCCAAACAGTGAAACTCTTATTGTTACTGTTCCTACATTTAGGCTCCCATAGCCACAAAGACAGTGTTTTTAAAAAAATATATATGTTTTTTTATTGATTTTAGAGAGAGGAAGTGTGAGGGAGAGAGAGAAACATCAATGATGAGAGAGAATCATCGATTCACGCCATTGAGCCTGTAACCCCGACATGAACTCTGATTGGGACCCCACAATTCTCCCAAAATGGTGGTGTCTCACTGAACTCAACCTCCTACTCCTAGAGAGAAGGAAAGCGAACAACAAAAACACCTTTCCTTGAAAAAAAGGGAGAAACTTGGAACCCGATCGCAGTTTGAGTCTCAGCTCCTCCACTCACGAACCTGGGGGTCTGAATAGTGTTCTTTAACCTCTCCAGGCCTCACGTTCCTGCATCACCTGGGAGAGTCATGCCCATCCACCTACCAGATCTGAAGCTTAAATGAGATGATGCACATGAAAGGGCCTTCTAACTTGCCTATGGTCCCAAGGGCTGAGTCAACGGAGCGGACCTGACGGTGGGTTTAGGACACAGGGAACTGGCAGTTTTGCCTCAAGGGACTTGGAAGGGGCACAGAAAAGGTCAACCAATCTCGGTGGCACTAAACCCACAACGGGAAGACAGAAATGCAGTTTTTACAATTGTCCTCCTCTGCCCACAACAGGAGCAGTATTTAATTCCATTTGTCACTATTTATGCCTTTTCGTGGTGTTCTGGCAAGAGGAATAACGAATAAGGCACTGGATGTAGGGCACCTCGACTGTGCGACCTTGGGCTCCCTTTAATTCTTCGCGCTTCAATTTTTCTCATTTATAAAATGAGAATCAAACTTCCTGCCTTAACCATTCACCCAGTTTTTGTGAGGGTCCAATTCGAACGTATGTTCGTGAAACTCCTCCGTAAGCTCCAGAGAGCCTGGCAACTATTTTCACCAGCAACTAGGCGTCCCTGCTTGCTTGGTTACTCCTTTAGCCTCGACCATTATTAACGTTGTGATTTATAATCACAGAAATAAATGAAATCCTATGGTCATTTCTAGCACCAGATTCTCGGACCCCACCCAAACGCACAGCCTAGCCGCCGGCTCCGGACAGAAGGAAACAGCCCTTCTCCACCCGCGGGCGGGCCTAGTCCATCAGACTCCGCCACTGAACGTTCCGGAAGCCAATCCCAACAGTTCTCTTGCAACGCCCCGCCCCTTAGAGCTGAGAAACATTATGGCGGCCCGGAAGAACTGCAGGGGCGTAAGCCAATCACTGCAGAGGGCAGCCCTCATCCGGCAAGGCTCTGAGGCGGGGTCATCGGTCAAGATCGACAGCCAAAGCAGCCAATAGAGTTATCGAAAACTGGGAAGGGGCGGGTGCCGGGAGCTCACAGAGCGGTTAAGGCCCTTGAGCCCCGGGCCCAAGGACCCGGCTCAGACTACAAGTCTTCCCTTTATTCACCCCAAAGCCCTCCAACCCATGGTTCCCGACCGGCCGCCCTGCCTGCGGACTATGGGTGGGGGTAGGACGGAGGCAGCGGTGGTTGAACCCGCCTGACAGGCCTGGCCAGTGACAAAGAGCTGGCGGCATCGGGAAGCGATCCCTTCGGGGAGGACAGCAGAAGTCCCTTTAGAGATAGGAAAGATGCAACTCACGTTGTCGATCACAACAGGCTGGTTGGCGATAACATCGTAGGACTCCATGGCAGAGGAATCTCTACCTCCGAGGAAGGAACTGCCTGCCCGGTCCGCTGCTAGTGCCACTGACACGCATGCGCAGACTAGCCGCCGGTGCAGGGCGAAGAGGGAGCGGCCCGATCTTGCCTCCGAAGAACTACAACCCCCAGCATGCCTTGCACCTAAGGTTAGAGGGCCAGGCAGTTTCGGAGCCACACCTAGTTTTAAGAGATGGAGTGACACAGTACCCTGGGTTTTGTAGTCTCCATGGGTAAATAGAAGGGAAGCAGATTTTTTTCCTTTTGATTGAATTTATTGGGGAGACCAAAATTATACAAGTTTCAGGTGCACAATTCTACAACACGTCATCTGTACACTGTATTGTGTGTTCACCACCCCAAGTCAAGTCTCGTGCATCACCATTTAGCCCTCCTATCCCCTCCTCCACCCCCCCATCACCA